TTTTCTCATTATAACGACTTAATTTTCTCGTGATCTCGACATAAAAGTTAAAGTTACAAAACTGCGCCAACAGGTGGCACTATTGACCTGAATATAACTGATGGGGTGTTGTAGGCTATACTGTATGTCCACTTTACTGTACGCGTTTGGGATAGAATATGAACGACCTCGTGATCGCTATAATTTGTACAGTATTGTTCATTAGGCTACTGACATTTAATTCATTCATAAATGTTAAGTGCTTGAATCAATATGACTATTTTGTGTATTAAGTTCTTGCTAGATGCATGAGTTTCACCAACGCGTTCTGTGTCATAAAATAATAACTGCTTATTAAAACCAAGGTTGACGTCACTGTATTCTGTTTGCACCTATATCTTTATTTGTGCTTCTTTGAGGTACATTATTGTTAGTTAATAAGCGGGGGTGTTCTGTTTATCTACAGTAGGACAGGCTTCAACGACGTAAAGAAGAAAATTAAGTCGTTATAACGAGAAAACAACTCTCGTTATGTCGATATAACGAGAAAATTAAGTCGTTATAACGAGAAAACAACTCTCGTTATGTCGATATAACGAGAAAATAAGTCGTTATATAAAAAATAATGCATGGCCGCTTAGAACTTCCGTACATATATTATGTAAACAAAAACGTTTATTTTGGATGCGATTAATCGTGATTAATCATTTGACAGCACTATTTAAAATACATTGAAATAGAAAACATTTCTTTTAAATTGTAATAATATTTTTTAAGCAATAAATGCAGCTTTGGTGAGCATGAGGAATTTCTTATAAAACCATGGAAAAATCTTACTAACCCTAAATTTTTGAACGGTAGTGTAGTTCGTTAAATAATTAGTTAAATATATTAACTCACATTTAAAATCATTTAAATACTACACGTAAATTTAGGCATCAGAGCATTATAAATTGCAGTATGAATACTTTATATTCATTTTGAGATTGGCTAAATATTACATTTATGAAATTATAAATGTTTTTAAAGATTAATTTTAACTTTTTAAATTTAAAAAGTAATCTAAATTTAAAAATAGAGAAAATGAGCATAAACAATTAAATATTAAAAATTTAGTATCTAGTATCATCCATTAACAGAAATGGTTCATATATATATATATCGTGTATCTGCCACATGCTAGTAGCCACAGGAAGTAATTCAGTCAGTGTGCATTTTGATAAAATTCCTACTAGACCTACAGTGCAATAAAGACACTTAATGGAGGACATGATGTAGCCACAGGAAATAGTTCAGAAAGTGTGTGCTGTCTCACAGGGGTTAGTGTAAAGGCTTCCTCTCCTTATATCAGGGCATTAACCTCCTCTCCCTCCCCTTGTCCCACCCCATCCTCTTTTGTTCATTTCGACTCCTTTATGCCCTCTGCCTTCCCCCTCTCTCTTCCTTCGCTCCTCTGTCGCTCCCTTCCCACTTTGCCACGTTTCCCTCCCCCGGCTCTTCCACCCTCAGCAGCATGGTGCACGAGAGCAGGCAGGTGCTACAGGAGCCCGACTTCACCCAGCTCCTCCTCAGGGACCCCAACGCCCCAGTGGTGAGGAAGTCTAGAGGCACCTCGACACAGGGCACCTCCACCCATGCCTCTTCCACGCACCTCGCCATGTTGGACGAGCCCCCCAGCGCCAGCACCAGCCGTGCGGGCAGCATGCGCAGCAAATCAAGCAGCTTCCACGGCAGCCTGCAGCGCTCCAGAGACGGCAGGTGAGGCATCCCAGTTATAATTCAATCTCACGAGTAGGCATTCGGAGGACTTTTTTTTTTAGCATATTTGGCACAGATTTTTGGGGATCCTTCATAATGCAAGTTAGTAAGTGTATTTACTAAGACATGCAAGAAACGGGAAATGCAAGTAACAACCAATTTTTTTTTTTTTTTGGATTGCAACATGCATTTGAATTAAATGGATAATCAGAAAAGAAAAAATGAGGGCAGGGACTTGGTTCTATCCATCAGTAGTTAATTAGATTTTGAGATGTGGGCATTGCAATTTTTTGCATGTTGCATTGATTTTTGGGGATCTGCAAAATGCAGTTAGTTAGACGGTTTAATAAACTGTCATGCAAAAAACCGGGTGATGCATAATAATTTGTTAATAAAAGTTGTTTTACGAAAACCTATATAAATAATGTGCACAATGCTCATGCATTGTAGGCTTTAAACCTACAACCTTTCAATTACTAGCCTAGATATCCAATATTAAAGTTGCAATGAAACCGAAGCAGCAAAAGATCTTTTCTTCTGTATACATCCAAATTAAACGGATATAGAAAAATATTTTTTTTAAATTAGGTGGGGATTTGGTTCTATCCATTGGTTGTTGATTGAATTTTAAGATGTGATTATTGCACTCAATTTTTTATTTTTTGCATATTTTGGAGATCTGCGAAATGCCAGTTAGACTGTTTAATAAACAGTCATGCAAAAACAGGTTATGCATAATTTGTGAATGAAACTTGTTATAAGAAATCCTCTACAAATAATGTGCACAGTGGTCATGCATTGTGGGCTTTGAACCTACAACCTTTCAATTACTAGCATGAATATCCAATATTAAACTTGTAATAAAACGGAAGCAGCAACAATTCTTTTCTTCCTTATTGATGCATACATCTGAATGAAACGGGTTATAGAAAAAGACTTACGAAATTAGGGTGGTTCCATCCATCGGTTGTTGATTGGATTTTAAGATGTGGCCATTGCACTCAAAATAACCTTTTTTTTAGCATAATTTATACAGATTTTTGGGGATCTGCAAAATGCCAGTTAGACTGTTTAATAAACAGTCATGCAAAAAACAGATAATGCATAATAATAAAGTTGTTATAAGAAATCCTCTACAAATAATGTGCACAGTGGTCATGCATTGTGGGCTTTGAACCTACAACCTTTCAATTACTAGCCTAGATATCCAAAATTAATGTTGCAGTGAAACGGATGTAATGAAAAAAAAACTGTGGGGTGAGGACTTGGTTCTACATATCAGTTGGAGTTTGAGATGTAGGTGTTGCACACAAATATCAATGTGGATAGTGCAGCGGCAGTTTAATAATTGAAGAAGTCTGACCGACATACATCACCAGATCAAGTGACATTCTGATTAAACATTGAAAAAACCTATTTCAAAAATAAATAATTGATGAATCGTTCAAAATAGGGTCTATAACATGTACTTACAAAATATATGGCCTGAAAAATAATACAAGTAATACAATATTATTTTGGGACAAGAAAATGTCCCAAAATAATAGCGCCCCCCAATTGTCCACAGCTGCCTCCCTGATCAAAGATCTGAACATCAGTGAATCTCATTCATTATGTTTCGCATCAGGTACACGGCTTGTAGTTATCGCGGCGTGGAGGAACGTCTTCCTCACGGGAGCACCCTGCGCCTTAATGATCCGCTCCAGCACTGTGGCGTCAACCGTCTCGACAGCCATTCACGGCACGGCAGCCTGCAGCGCCTGGAGAGCCAATCACGGCACAGCAGCGTGCGAGACCTCACCATCACAGCACAGGCCATCCAAAGCAGCCCTGGCAACGGCATTCACCGCGTCATAGAGGAGGATGCCACCAAGGCGTGAACTTTCACACGGCAGGAAATAGAGACCAAATGAGTCAAGAGAACATGGACTCTTCTGGCACAAACTCCTCATGATGGATGGCACAAATACAAGTGTTCAAACTACACAGTGTGCCATGTGCATTTCATGGGGACTGAACCCATGACCTTGCAGCTGTTAGCATTTTGTGCTACTAGTTGAGCTACATGAACTTCATGAATACATTTACTTTAAGACTTTCGATCAAAAGTTGTATAGTTCAGTTATGGACCATACCAAACACTTGAAATCTTCTGATGTACACTACCATTCAAAAGTTAGGGGTCAGTACTTTCCACAGATTTCTATTTCAAATGAATGCTCCTGATCAAATAAATGCAGCCTTGCTGAGAATAATAAACTTCTTTTCAAATCTTACCGACCCCATACTTTTGAATGGTAGTCTATGCATGTACTGTTATCTTTTCTTCTTAAAGGGTTCCTACAATAACAGGGTCAAATGTAAGGGCTTTTGATACGTCATCATTCTGTGATGTATCGAGGCACTTGCTGTTTTATATACTCCCCATGCTTTAAGCTTTCTGAGTTGTTCCACTACTGATGTGGTTTTGAATGTTTCTTTCCATTGTCTGTTGCACTTTTGACCATTTTGTAGAACAGAACTAGTGATGTATACGGACATCTCCGCACATTTGGGTTCAATTTAAATAGACAATTCACCCAAAAATGAAAATGTTGTCACCATTTACTCACCATTGTTACATTTCAAACTTGTATGATTTTCTTTTTTTCCTGTGGAAGACAAAAGGAGATGTTTAGCAGAATGTACAAGCTTCTCGTTTCCATACAATGGTAGTGAATAGTGACTAAGGGCTGTAAAGCTACAAAAATGACAAAAAAGCACCATAGAACATAAACGACTCACTTGCATTGCATTGCAAGTCCTCTGATATCTGTGGGGAAAAAAGAAAAACATTTATTCAGTCAATAATTGTTTCCAATGCCAAGTGTCAATTGTTTCCAGTGCCAATGTCTTAAAGTTGAAGGTGAGAAAATGAAAATAATTTCATCATTTTTATGTGAAATATCCAATTGAAAAGCATGAAGAGCTGAATAAAAAAAAAAGAAACTAAAAAAAAAATCGTCAGTCATTTTAGAATAGATATTGTAGGCATTTTTCAAATGGAAATTGGCATATCCTTTACAACCAAGCTCTTCTCTGTTGAGTTTTAGCACAAATAATAGTCAAGTCATTTTTGTGACATTTACCGAAAACTGTGAAAAGCTTTTTTTTTATATCATGTTCAGAGATCCTGAGTGCTTTCTGTACAAAATAAAACATCACTCTCAAAACGTTCATATCCGTGTGTGTCATTTCCCTCCGTTTATTGAATTACATCAGCGTCAGGTTAATATAGTAACGTCTCCATATATGCATAGTGGCCAGTTTATCCAGTCTTTGATTGACCTTACATCTGTGCAAAACGATTCATCCTCGTTTGAAGTGATATCCACCTTTGTCAAGTGAGTGAGAAACAAAATACAAGCATGAAACATATGGAATGATCAATTATGACATGCGAAACTGTACAAATGATTACAAAGCATTATCCTGAAAAAAGAATGAAGTGAGATGAGAATGAGCACAGATAAATGTAATGTCTAAGAGGTCGCTGAAATGCAAAGACATTTTCATTTGACTGGAAGTCTCTAGTAGGTTTCCACCCAAATGTTTTTTTTCCATTGCTGTTGCTTACTACAGATGGAATGATTTAATTTGATTGTAACCCTTTTTACAAATTAATCAAATTAACCGAGTTTCCCACTTCATGGAAGGAACTGAATCTGGTGCAGAAATCAAGTCGTGAAGCCTGCATGAGACGGAAGACTCTCTTTCTTGTGCAACTGCAAACTGAATAAGGAACAAAGTGAAGACTGTGTCGCTTATTAGACGAAGTTTTAAACATTTCATGGAATAAATGCTCTTGGAACCACAAGAAACGCAATCTGACAACTACATAATGACAAATACATCCTGGCATTGTGGGAGCAGATTCTTGTAATATATTTTAATGGTAAAGTTTAACCTTACATTTAATAGCAGTGGTGAATGTTGTAACACCTAACGGGATAAAATTACTGAATTATCCATGAAAAAGTTTTCTGAAAATACATTTTTCCAAGGAAGAAAGAGCCAAACTATGTGGGAGAAGCAAAGTATTTCCCATAGTGTAACATTAGATGAAACCAGGAACAAAACGAAATGTCTTTTGTCTGTCTGCAAATCTCAAGATTACATGTTGGACCAGTTCCACAATTTGGACTTAACAGTTTCTAGATTGCAGAAATATGATATTTGTATGCAACCTTGCTGATATTTGTACAGTTTCGGTCAATGCGGAGACCAAACATGATGCAGATTTTACAGTTTAAGCACGCTTGTAGTAAAACAGCTTGCCCTGTGTCTCACAAAAATCTTAAAATTCCTGTTATTTAAAAACAAGCTGATGACAAAGAATTAAAATACACAAGGCAGTAGTACCGTCTCATAAACCAAAAATAAAATAAATGACGCAACTAAAGCTTTTTAAATGGTCTTGGCGCGAGTATATTAAAATAATTTTTTTTAAATAAAAGCAATGAGATTTTTTTCCCCACATAGTTTATCTCTTCAATATTTCCTTATTATATATTATACTATACTTTTAACCTATGTACATTACTGTGAAGCGTTTTCACAGGTCATGTTGGCTCACGGAAGGTTCGGATTACGTGGAGACGTCGTGTCAGAAAGCCTCTAGAAATTCCGACAAATCTAGGACAGGAAGCGATAGATGAGGTCGCCTGATATCTGCGGTCTCTCATCCATTTAGCTGAAGTAACAAACGAATCACTGCACACATCACTTTTAAAAGCAAATAAAAAATATACATCATTGCATTTTTTTGTGGGATTCTATAATGCAATCATCATTCCCGTACGGTCCACAGCTGAAGAACAGAGTGAGGGATGTGACAGTATTTTCCACCTTGAAATGGCTGAATGCTAAATAAATAAAAAGTTCACCCCTAACCCGCTCTATGTACAAACACCAGTTACATTCAAATCCAGAATTAACTTCCACTTTTTCCTCCAATCAGCTTCTGCGTGTCCTGGTCACTCAAACATACAAACTCTGGTGTTGGTGTGGGTTCTCCTTTGTATGTTCCCTTATGCAAATTAAGTGGGAGTGGCCTGTAGTGCCTGGGAGGGGCAGACTCAGAGTTTGTTGTGATTGGTTCATTGTTGAGTCCATCATGTGTCCCACGCCGTACGGTCTGTGCTCTCCAGTGAGAGGGACTTTGTCTTGTGCGGGGAGGCGGGGCTCGGCGGGCTGCTGAAGGTGGAGCTGTTGGAGGCAGTGGAGTGCCGGGGCGAATCAGAGTCCTGAAACACAAAACCCAAGAAATATTGTAAGAACAGAGATGCTACATTTTTGGGAATCTTAGAAAGTAGCTACTATAATCATCTAGCCCTAAGGTGTTCCTTCAAATACACACAAGAAAAAGACAGTGACGATGGACATAATTATGAAGCCTTTAATACACTATCATTCACATGTTTGGGCTCAGTAAGATTTGTATTGTTTCTGAAAGTCTCTTCTGCTCGCCAAGGCTGCACTTCTTCGATCGAAAATACAGCTAAAACTGTAATATTATAAAATATGACTACAATTTAATTGTTTTCTGTTTGAATGTACTTTAAATATCATTTATTCCTGAATTTTCAGCAGAATTATCCTTCAGATATCATTCTAATATGCTCAGTAGACATTTCTTATTCTTATCGATATTTTTGTAGAAATCGTAACTTCTTTGCAGGATTCTTTGAATTGAAATGATTTTTTTGTAACAATGTAAAAGTCTTTACTGTTACTTTTAATCAAATGAATTCATCCTTGCTCTCAAAAAAAAAAGACTAACCTTAAACTTGTCAATGGTAGTGTACACATGCAATGAGTCCAAATACTGTGCAAAAAAAGGGTGCAACTAAAATGAACTGGGATCTAAATTTTAGTAGCTTCATAACAGTTGGCTTGTAAACATGGCATACTTGGTTCAGAAAAGTCGCTAGTTCACATGCCCATCTCAAGAGAATATTAATCAGGATAGTTCACCCAAGTATTACAATTCTTTCATCTTTTACTCACCTTCATGTCATTCTAAACCTGTAAGACTAACTTTCTTCTGTGGAACACAAAAGAAGGTATTTTGGGAAATGAGTGCTCTGCAAAAGAAATAGTCCTACAAGTTTGGAATGACACAAGGGTGAGAAATTATGACAGAATATTCCCTTTTGGGTGAGCTATCCATTTAACTCAGAAAATATAGAAACTGCAAAAATGTACGTATGCTATATGATAAACTACTCAGATTTAGCATTTTTTTGAATGTTTACATTATATAATACTGCACTTGTCTCCCTGATTGGGCTCTGCCATGTCTACAATTTAAAACAATGGTGGAGGTCCTTTAATCCAGCTGCATTTTTGAGAACGAAGCACTACAAAGTAAATAAAATAAGTTACATTAAAGACAAGTGCTCATCTTCAAAAACATACTCGTAGCCAGTGGTTCGCAGCTATCAACGCTTCAAAGCAAAGCTGATTCCACACTCTATAAGGCTTGAATCGCACTCTTTGCAAGTATATGAACGCAACGCTTCAAGCTAAACAAGCTCATAACCAAACACATATATGTGTTGCATTCTAAACTGCAGCACATCAGTGTAGTCTTCTTTTACAAGTTGATGTTTATCAATAGTCACCTGAAAAAAACATTAATTTTACAGTAACTCTAGCGCCCCCTTGAGATCAAACCAAACATTTGTGTACTTGCACAGAGTATTTTTCTAGTCCAGCTCTCTTTTCTTCACATACACAGGGGGTGGCCAGCAGGAGCGGCATGAAGGCGAAACATGCGAATGGAAGCTTGCCATTCCCTACCGAAGCTCTCTGCTTCACCACAATCGCTCGTGGGTAGTGAAGGATAAGTTTGTGAGCTTCAAAAATGGGCAGTGGATACTTGAGAAGCACTCTGCAGGGCTGCCTGAGTGTGCGGATGACAGCAGGCGTGTGTGTGTGTGTGTGTGTGTTTCACTGCAAACGTGTGACGTTTACCTTCATTTTACTAAGCAGGGTCCTTAAAGCCCTTTTCAGATCAGGGGTCTTCTCCGAGGGCGATACCGCCTGCCACTGAGAAGGAAAGGGCAGACTGAGTGCCAGAATGGCTTCCAAACTTGCTGGAGGAGAATGGGGCGGCCGGGAGGCGCAAAGCGCAGCGGTATGGGGAGATGACGGGTGACATAAGGGCACGGGGTGGGTGGATTGCTAAGGATTCTGTTGGATGTAGTGGAATGGGGCGGCAGGCATAAAGTGGCGTAAGCAGGTGGGGGAACAAAGCACTGAGGCTCACTTACATTCAAGTGCTTTGGGGCAAATTATTACATTATAAGTGTTCCAACTTTACAGGCCTGATGGGAAGTGATGGGGCAAGCTGTTTTTTCTAAGTCAGGAGGTGTGCAGAATTATCATACACGAGGGTGAATAAATGATTTTTTGAGTAACACTGATAAGAATACACTTTGAGAGGCCATTAATATCCAATTTCCAACTAGGAATCTTATATATATAATAATTCAGATTCACAAGACAGCATAAGGCTCAAATTTAATATTCATGGATACCATGGATTGCTGGTCATGTGCCGTGACGTCCCTGCATAGTGCAAATTTGGCTTTGATGTGATGAGGTAATGAAGATACCACTGTCCCGATTCCTCCTACATCATGACTCACCTCTCTATCAAACTGAGAGAGTGGCGCTTCGCCCACGTCCATCCCCCCTCCTGATGACAGCGAGCTCTCGGAGGGTGACGTCATGGTCTGGCGTTTAGAGCTGTAGCTGCTGCCCGAAAGCTCTCTCCTCAGAGCGCTGCCGTTCTGAGAGGAGGACCCTGACAGAGAGGAGAAGAAAGAAATGAAACGTTAGGAATGAAACGCTTGGAATATGATAAATTTAAGAGCAGACATGTGTACTTACGCATTCCTAGACCACTGCTTGCGCTCATGGATCGCCCAGGTTCGGCTCGGTTTTTGGTGATTGAGGGGATGCTGACGGAACCGCTGAACCCGGCTCGATTGTCCTGAGCACACAAATTCTACAGGTTACACAGAGAAACACCACACACACACACACAGAGAGCAGGGACACACATACATGCAATGAGTGGGACAAACATGCCTCAATGAAAACAAACTATGGGATTCAATATTGAGATCTTTAAGATGGCATGTTGCTATCAACAAATATATCAATACATACTGTATGTGCATAAATAACCTTTGACACACCCATGAATGTAGAGACTGGAGAGTTGTTTGATGAGATATGCTTCCGTTCAGAAGTATGGGGTCAGTGAGATTTTTTTATGTTTTTGAAAGAAGACACTTATGCTTGCCAAGACTGCATTTATTTGATCAAAAATACAGCTGAACAGAAATACTGTGAAATATTGTTATTATAATTTAACGGTTTTCTACTGTATTATATTTTAAAATGTAATTTATTCCTGTGATGGCAAAGATGAATTTACAGCAGCCACTACTACAGCCTTCAGTGTCACATAATGCTTCAGAAATAATTCTAATATGCTGATTTGCAGCTCAAGAAATGAACAAAGTTCAAAAGAACAGCATTATTTTGAAACAGAAAACTTAATTTCTTTACTGCCACGTTTGATGTATTAAATCAGTCTTTACTTAATAAAAGTTTTTTTTTTTTTTAATTACTGATCCCAAACTATTGAACGATTGAACAAAAGTGGAGGGACTTGTTAAATAACCAGAAAAATGAGGTTGCAACAGCATGAAAGGGGTATTCTGAGTTCAACAGAAGTTAAGCTCAGTCAACTCAGCATAATACCACAAAAAAAATCACTCCCTCATTTTCTTTGAAAAAAGCAAAAATTACAGTTACAGTGGGGCACTTACAATATAAGTGAAGGGGGACAATTTGTGAAGAATTTTAAAGTAGAAATGTAAAGTTTAGAATTTTCTACAGATACTTTTTTAACACTTTTTCTGAATAGTAAAGGTTAGTGAGCAATTATTTTGCACACTAAAATCATGTTAACACATTTTGTTTGTCTTGTGGCTATACTATTAAAACAAGTGAAATAAATGTTTGTAATAATCCACATTTTGTCACAAATGCTGTCGACTGAGCTTAATATACTGAAGCTAGAATATTCCTTTAAAGATGAGCCTCTCACCATTGGTAGATCTCTGAGGATCTGCATTCCATCTCCAGGACCCATATGAGCCACATGGTTAAAATTCATAGGGTTTGAGATCAACTTGTTCCTTTTCTCTGGATCTTTCAACATGTCTCTGCAATCACACACACACACACACACACACACACACACAAGTTAAGTTAATATAATAGCCCTATAATGACTATAATGATATTTTGAAATAACAACAAAAAATAAAAATAAAGATACTGAAGCCAGACCTTAAAAAAAAAAAAGAATACTACATATGTGTTATGAAATAATATGTGTGTGTGTGTGTATGTGTATGTGTGTGTGTATGTGACATTCACCTCCTCTGCTGCAGTCTCTCCTCCTCAGGAATACGGAATGAGAATCGTCTCTTGCTGCTTATGCTGCGTACCATCTGCTTCCTGCTGTTATCACACACCTCAGGCACCACCAGTTCGTCCCCCTCTAAACACACACACATTATGCATTATCAGACATATTATTCAAATCTGAATTATTCATTACATCAAACAGCACTACTAAACAAAAAGTTTCAAACAACTACACCAAACGTGGGCTATCATTCTTGCATTTCACTAAATTAGAGACAGTGCCGTTACCTGCAGTCTTGTTTCTGAAGTAGATGAGTCTGACCGTCTCTAGGCCAAGGAGATTCAAAGATCCATCCATGTTCAACGGCCGGACCTGCACAGAGCCAGTCAAAGTTTATTTATTCATTTATAAGATGACTCATTTATGTGTTTCAGTAAATAAAAAGCTTTCAGTCATTCTATTATGTTAATTTTGTGCTCAAGAAACAGTTCTTATTATTATTAAACGTTGAAAACAGTTGTGATAGGTGTGCAAGAGTTCTTTATTTATTATAATGACATTTATTTAAAAGACTTCTGAAATTGAAATATGCAAACCTTTTTGAGAGGAATGGTCTGAATCCATTCCATAGTGTTCACATCAAACACATCCACTGCATTTTCACTGTAGACTGACAGGTAGGGGGCGTTGTAGCCTGCCAGATGTAAATCATCCACAAGGTCAATCTAACAAAACCTTTTCACAGCCACAGCCTGACCCTTGTCTTTAACCCTTAAGTGTAAATAGATTCTCTCTACTCACAGCAGGCGGTGGGCGTCGCGGGCCACATCAGCTCCTGCTGGCGCGAGCGTCTGCCATGTGTGTCCACATACACTGCAATTTTGCTGAAGCAGAGCAGCCGTTCTTTATGGGAGATTTCCACTGCACAAAGGGCATCCAAGTTGTCTGCCCTAATAAACGCCAACGTGGGGTCATCTGGGTGAAGTAAGCTGACCGGAGGGGCATCTCCATGCAAACTGTAGCGCATGAAGCCCGCTTGGTAGCCTACACATAATTGCTGGCCGAAGAGCACCATCCACTGGACAATTCCTGGAGCCTGAGATATAGAAAGGGCTGTTGATATTGCTGTGTACGCTAGCAAAGATGCTCTTTGTGATCTAATGAGTATGAACACTATTTACAATTAGGCTGCATATACTTGATTTGAAAAAATGAGAAGGGTTTTGAATACTGTACTTGTATGTCCATCAGATGGCAGTAGCGAGACTTGCTCTTGTTAATTTCATAGCAGGAGATCTGACGTTTACTGGCGAGGCAGAAGCAGGTGCTATTGCGCACCACACCAGACACCAGTGCCTGGCAGTTTTTAGTATCTGCCACCTTATTCTTGTCAATCTCCCTTCCATCGAGCCCCGCCATGGGGAGCAGACACACTTGTCGGTTCCTGCCCGAGATGACGGCCATTAGGTGCTCTGTGGGCATCAGTTCTACGTGATGCACTTTCTTAATGTCACCCACGCGCACAATTTCTAGCAGAAAGAACAAAAATGTTCAATGAATGTTGGTCTTGCATCAGTTATTTCAGTTTTAATGGACTTGTGGTTCAGCAATGGTAGTGCACTGTTTAAAACAGTTAAAAAACTGTTATATCTTATTTTGAGAGTTTACCACCTTTAATAGATTTGTAATCAGATGTCTGCTCTGATACACAGGAAAAAAAGAGAAAAAAACTGATTTTCCTGCTTTCATGCAAAGAAAGGTAATTCACACTTAGAGGCTATACTAAAAATAACCATTCTCTGTCACTCTGACAGAAAAAAACTGTTATATCTTATTTTGAGAGTTTACCACCTTTAATAGATTTGTAATCAGATGTCTGCTCTGATACACAGGAAAAAAAGAGAAAAAAACATTGATTTACCTGCTTTCATGCAAAGAAAGGTAATTCACACTTAGAGGCTATACTAAAAATAACCATTCTCTGTCACTCTGACAGACTGGGTTCTACATTTTCCATCATGCTCTATTTTTATCTGTCGTTGTTTTCATTCTCCCTCAAATTAAGTAAATGTCTGGCATTCCAATGCAATAGACTCATTTTTTCTGTCAAATGATGGAGAGCATGTCAATGTTTTTAACATTTGGGAATTACAGAAATTGTACCTCAACTACCCTGAAGCGCCCTGGTAGCTCATACATCAGACTTTACGAGGTTTAAACCAACAAACTTTAACTCACCAGTTTAGATTTTTGACCACTAAGTCACAAACCATTTATTGGGTAATGAAGAAATAGGAGGATTAATGAAGGAAGTTTTACCGTCTTTGGTGACGTGGATTACAAACAGGCCTTCCTCATTCCCCAAAGCAACCCGTTCATGGTCTAAACAGAAATTGTGACAATCAAACATTTTGGATTAAACACTTGGTAAGAGTATCAGTATTTGCTCTTTGGCATAGTGTTGATATGACAAGACGAGTTTTGTGTGTCTCTGTCTGTACCTATAATAGCAGCAGTCTGGGTGGTTTTGATGAGAGGAAGGGTGCTGTCATACGCTTCTTTAGGCACATACACGAAGCGCTCCTTCAGCTTGTTTTTCCTCAGGATGCGGTGCAGTTCATTCAGAGCACACACCCACTTCGTCCTCTCTTGCTCATTGTCGGCAAGGATCAGGATGCATGTCTTCTGACTGGAGGAGGCGGACAGCTGAGATGCTGTTACCTGTGGAATGAACGGAGAATAATGTATGAAAAGCAATTCAAAACTGTCTTGAAATGAAATGACTAATGACTGCCTAAGGCTATAGTTAGTTCAGTGGTGATTATTACATAATCGCCTGATCGCTATTATTTGATCTGTGATGTTTTGAAGAAACCATTGTGAGAAAAAATGCTCGATGAAAGAGGAAAGTGAAGAATTTAGGACAAAAAATTAATTACTATTCCTATTCTACAAAGGCACAATGCAATTATTACACCAACACTGGAACTAAGACAAATGGCCAAAAATGGTTGTTTGTAACAGCACAGATCAAAGATTTAGAGATCCGCTTTTGGTTATAACTAAATTTAGACAAAATGTGTAGTTATTGCATTTTGCATTTCTATGGCAATAGCAACAAAGATATATATCATAATTATACTACAAAATAATCTAAATAAATACTTTCATAAGCACTTTTTACAATATTGTTATTCATATCAGTCTCCCCCTGTACAGTATTTGCGAACAAATTCCAAGTTCAACAAAAAAATTCAAATTACATTTTTCAAGGTATACGCTACCTTTCAAAAATGTGGGCTCAGATTTAAAAACAATAATAATAATAAACACTTTTTTTATAGCAAAAAAAGTATAACGGTTTCCACAAAAATACTAAGCAAAACAACTTCAAAATGATAATAAAAAATGTTATTGTCATAGAAAAATGACAGAATGTCAGAAAAAGAGATTCTACAGTGAGAAATTACAAATTGCCTGTATGCTCTTACCCTAAAAATACAGGGGATATCCTTCTTGTTAGCATGGATGACATCAGACTCCAGAACAGAGCTGGCGGAAAACTCTTCATCCCTGCTCAGGATAAAAGCGTGTACAAGTACAATATATGAAATACTTGACTTCTTAAATATTTGAGCATCACATTTGAATGAAGATCTCCCTCACCTCATGTCAATGACCTGGTTAACTGTAACACCAGGCTGGGCACCTTTCCCTTCTCCAAGCTCATACAGGAAAAGTTTGAAGTCACATACCACTGCCCAGACCCTCTGCCAACCCCTTTTCACTCCTGTGGGCTTTGGTATCTGGAAAAGACCGTCAAAGCTCCATTACAAGTCAGCCAAAAAAAAAAAAAAAAGTTTGTGGCCTATAGTATACATCCAGATAAACAGTCAATGGTCGAAAAGGTATTTGGTCATTTCTGAACCCCATAAATAAAACAGAGTGGTCAACAGTGAACAAAATATGAAGAGCAAAACATATTTGGCAACTCTTACCCTAAGATGGCCCTCATATGCAGTCCCAATGCCCCTCTGAGTGTCAATTCCCAGTTTGCCCTTGGTTTGGTCTGGTGCGACGGGGCACACAGAGGGTGCTTTATCAGCACAGGTGACGTGACAGGAGAAGTTGCAGGCTGTAAGGAGATGTGGAAGACAATGGCAGTTAGTATTAATGAGCATTTTGCCAATAATGCATCCTTGGATTGGAGAACATTCAATAAACCTGAAAGGTTTACCAAACCCGTATGACTTTATTTCTTCTGTGGAACACAATAGGGGAAATATTAAAGATTTATGCCGGTTCTCCTTGTGTGTTCCTCAGAAGAAATAAAGTCATAGGGGTTTTAACATCTCGAAAACTAAAAAAATGATCATTTTTACTGTCGTTTCTAATACTTTAAACACCAGAGACTCCTTTCTTTTCTGTTGTCTTACCTTCACAGGTGCAGCCCTGACGGATGAGTCCCACCATTAGAGAGGTACACTGGGCACATTTGGTGGGAACGGTGAAGGTCTTCACACTAAACTGGTGCACCTTTGGCTGTGGAGCAGAGAACATCAGCAATGTAATTAACCATAACCATATCCATAGATGTTTCAATAGAAACATTACAGCATTAAGACAAATGTTAGACAATAGGATTATTAGACAAAATTCCTATAGCACAATACAGTATTATCGCACAATACTTATTTTTGCTGGAAATTCATGAAAAATGGGTTATAATATTAAACAACCATATGGTAATGCAAATTTCTGGATAATCTACTTAAATTAATACTTAAAGCAGTTCTGCAGCACAAATATAGAATGGTAAAATAAATACAATAATACACTACAGTTCAAATGTTTGAGCTCAGTAAAAAATGTCTTAATTTTATTCAGCAAGGAAGCAAATTAAACGTTTTATATAACATATACAGACATTCATAAGGTTTCCAAAAATTCAAAATTTCAAATAAATGATTTCAGAAGGATCATGTGACACTTAAGACTGGAGCAACGGCTGCTGAAAATTCAGCTTTGCCATCACAGAAATAATTAACATTTTAAACACATTCAAATAGAAAACAGTTATTTCTAACTGTAATAATATTTCACAATTTTATTGTTACAGTTTTTTTCTAAATAAATGCAGCCTTGGTGAGCATAAGACTTCTTTCAAAAACACTTAAAACTCTTACCCACCCCAAATATTTGAAAAGTAGTGTATATAAGTATATAATCTATACAGATTGACACATTTCTACTGCTATAATGTAAACAGTTACCTTAAGTGATGAGTGTCCCAAGCTCCCATAGCCTGATCTTCCTGTTGGAGCCTGAAGACTACGTGACATGTGGTCAATCAACTAGGAGGAGGACACCAACACATTATTATATAAACAGAAGTGATGGTAAGATTTAAAGGAATAATTGACTCGAAATTAAAATTCTGTCATCATTTCAAACCTGCCTTTCTTTCTTCTGTGAAACACAAAAACATTCATCTTAAATACTGGATCCAGGCTGGATCACTTTAATTATATGGAAAAAAGTGACCCGTGCATCTGCTTTTGTGCTTCACAGTCTGGAATAACATGAGGGCAATTAAATAGTAACAGTATTTTCATTTTTAGGCGGACTATTCCTTTAAGAGTCCAAATGATACCTCAATAGGCTCCATGTCACTGGCGGTGGATGGGGAGCGGGAGCGTGATATACGCCGAGATCTTGAGTCTTCATCTCGTGACGGAGTGTTGGAGGGAGTGAAATCTGCAGAGTCAAGCTAAGATACAAAAAGATGGTACTTATACAAAATGTGTCATGCGGCACAGCCTGTGATACCAGAAGAATATGCCACCATGCAGAGCGAAACACGCTCGCAGCGGTATCATGACAATAATATTTTTACTGGAATTACACCCTCTAAGCAGAACAAAGCATGTGCACCCAGGCACCAAGCCAACGAGTGAAGGCACAATACACCCACTACACAGAGACCACACACCAACTACACATGCAAGACGGAATGAAAGGCAAAAACAATAAAGGAAAGCATATCCACAATTTATGAGGGCCTTACATTAAAGTGATCTGTAAAGGATTAGTTTACAGAAACGTGAAAATTCATTTATCATTTGCTCACTGCCATGTCTTTCCAAACCTGTATGATTTCTGTATAACTTTTCAACAAATAACTACACTACTGTTCAAAAATTTGGGATTGATTAAGATTGTTTTAAATGTTTTAAAATGAAACCTGTTATGATCAACAAAGCTCCATTTAGCTGATAAAAATACAGCAAAAACAGTAATATTGGAAAATATTATTACAATGTAAAAAAAAAAAGTTTTCTATTTTAATATATTTTAAAATGTAATTTATTCCTGTGATGGCAAAATGTAATATTCAGCAGCCATTATTCTAGGCTTCAGTGTCACATGATCCTTTAGAAATCATTCTAATATGATGATTCGCTGCTCAATAAACATCTCATTATTTTGTTGAAAACTTGCAGCTTAATATTTTTGTGGAAAACATGATAATTTTTTTCAGCATTATTTCATGAACAGAAAGTTCCAAAGAACAACATTTGTTTGAAATAGAAAACTATTGCACCATAACATCTTTTAAACTTTTCTTTTTTTTGAATTTTGACTATCTTTGAAAGAAAAAGAAGACAGTGAAAACTTATTCTGTGCACCATGGAGAAAAACAATACGAGGTTTGGATCGACAAAACGGTCAGTAAATGATGTGAAATTTATCATTTTAAGCAATCAACTTTTATACAACTTATTTTTCTTTTTAATCTCAATTAATCTTTTTAATAAATTAGATCCAAATATTAAGCCAAGTAAATGAATTCTACACGTTTCCATTTAAATGGGCTTTTAAAATGTACCATAAAAGCACATGGTATGGAAAATAAACCACCAAGTTTAATTAACTAACCCAGTCAATAACCCAGATTCTCTGAAGTATATTAATATATAACACTTCAATTACATATATGGTTCATATGTGTTTCAACAGATGGAAGAAAGGTTCCCAAACACATTTCAGATGCATTTAAGCATGAAAGGTCTCATGCAATACAGATATCACCACAATCAGAGCTGCCACCCATGCAGTTTGCAAAACAGACCGTCACAACCTCAGGAAAAAATATGACAGAGGGGGGGATTTTGCTGTGACACAGGACAAAAATGGGTCTTACACGTCTGGTTTTGCTTCCAGGACCAAAAGAGGGTGATCGCTTTATATGGAGAGAGAAAAAAAGATGAGTCAAACGTCATGTACAAGTGTCAGCTGGATACGATCATGGCCTGGGACGGCAGGTTGGAGAACGGAGGGAAGGGAATGAGGGCGTGTAAGAACACATCTAATCTGTGGTTGGATTTCTGGGCATAGTTTACATGCACAAAGGAATCACTTTACATCAAAGAACTCCAAGGAGTCACTACCACAAGACACTGGAGTGGATGTAGGATCAGATAAGTACAGCATAACCATGAACTATATCGTTGGTTAGGGTGACCATACATGCCATTTTCCCAGGACGCATCCTGGCCAGGATTTCTATATTGCCTAAAATATCTAGGTTTTGGCTTTGTTTGCGTGTGCAGACCGATCGGTGTATGACATCAAAATACCATACAGACGGTTCCTTATGCTTTCAAAATGCTCTCAAGGTACTTTGATGTCATACACTGATCGGTCTGCACACGCAAACAAAGCCAAAACCTAGATATTTTAGGCAATATAGAAATCCTGGCCAGGACGCGTCCTGGGAAAATGGCACGTATGGTCACCCTATGCTATTAGCTTAGCAACATGCTAATGCCAAACTGTACTAGAATCAATTGCGAGTTGAGCTTCCTTTGATATTCTGTTATTATTCCTGTGGGAGTTTCATAACTGGAGTAGGGCCTTTACTTGTCTGCTTTTAAATGTGTAAAATGAAAAAATTCCACTATAACATGGCTGAAGAAGAACTTACATCTTCGCAAAATTCAACTAAAGAAGACGAAGAGGAAGAAAATGAGTCCTGATGGACAACAGAATGAAAAAACAAAACAATAACCATACACATTATCACAGGAGAAAAAACAGAAAATAATACAACAGATCAGGATGTGTCAGAAGAATACAGAAAGCGTGTAAAAAAAAAATGTAAATAAAAATGATGAGAAAGATTTCTTTGGAAACCAGAGTGAACCTGGGATCTCAAACTTACATCAAACTGATCCAGAGCAGAAGTGGGCGCATTGAGAAATGCCAAGAAAGAATTCTGGGAATCCTGATGCTTCACTCCTAAAAATGACAGAATCTTATTAAAACACATTTTTTAAATCTCATCAAATTAGACTGTAACATAGCCAGAAATGCTCTTTTTATGTCACATCATGAAAAGCAATGCTGAGTAGGTTGGATATTTGATTGTCACCAGTGTTTTTATTGTTTTTGTTAATTAAATGTAGCCGTGGTAATTAACTGAAATCAGTTTAAGTACTAAAATTACTCTAATTAAATGGAAATAAAAATAAATTAAAGCTATATAGGAATAAATAAAAAAAATTAAATGTAAAATTACGAAAAACTAAATAAATAAAAAAAACTATTTAATATTTAAAATATTAATAAATGTTACAAAATATATAAATAACACTGATCACCACCTCTCCTCAGTCTCAGCTCCTCTGTCTCTTTCCTCAGCCTCTCAATTTCTGAAAGCAGCTCCTGGTTTCTACTTTCGGAATCTTGCAATTTGCTGTAAGATAAAAATAACAGAAAAAAACTATGCCACTCTATTTAAATTCACCTCATTCAAAAAGAGAGTGAACAAAATAAGCTAAATTTAGCTAAAGCTCTACTGACCAAATCAAAAGACAAGTTAATTTCAAAACTATGCACATAAAGAGTGAAACGAATGTTGATTGAGCTGAAAAAAAGTTATTAGACTTTAAATGAAATCAGCAAACCAGATCTCTAGTTTCAGTAGAGTTGAGCAGAACTATGCCGATATGTGTGGTCTTACCATTCTGTGGCAATGTTGGATGCTTTGACTTTGTTAAGCTCATCCTGGATGGACTGTTTGGCTCTGATCTCGGCATCCAGCGCAGACTGCAGCTCCAGACGTGCAGACATGTCCAGCTTAGCAAAGCGCCTCATCTTCCACGGCATGTCCTAACAAAGCGAGAAAGAGGCCCACCACATCAGACATGCAGGAAAATGAGAATATGGGTTTCATCTTTATCTACTGTGGGCATGTCTCACCGTTCCTCTGGCTCCCAAGCTGGTGTTCCTGAGCCCTTCAAGCTCCTCTGTCATTTTTGTGGCTAGAGCTTGGAGGTAACCACGAGCATCTTTCTCATCGCTCACCCTGTATAAATAAGTTTAGTTCAGCTTTACCTTGACATAAACCACAAAATGTGTATATGCAACTGTATTCAAGTGATGAATGGTCAAATGATCTGCATGATCTAGATCTGCAAAGCCATGCAGACATGGGTAAAGGTCATCATTATCACGCATCTTTCTCTGCAAGTGTGATGTCACGTGGCTGCAGGTAGGGGGCTCCACTCACCACTGGATGATCTCAGTGATCTGGGCCTCCCAATGGGCAACGCTCTCCTTCTTATCAGCCAAGTCTCTCATCTCCTCCTCCAGCTGCCTGTGACTATTGCTGAGCTGCTCATATATAGAGCTCAGCTGAAAAGAGAAAAAGAGACCACAAAGAGTTAAGAACAGAAAAGTAAAGATGTGAGGAAGCAGACGGATAATTATTGGGTGGATATGACAGGCATTGCAGTTGTTAAGGTGGTTGTTAGCATGGTGCTACCAGTGTTGTTATGGTTAACTAAAACTAAAACAACAAAAACATAAACTGAAAAAAGCTTAAATAAAATATCAAATTTAGATATTTATTATAAATAATAAATATTATATATTTTTATCATATTACTGCATAATTGTATTATATAATACAATTAAACTTAAAAAAACTTTCATGACGGCTAATCTTGACATGCACTAAAATGACTAAAAATAACAAAAACAAATAAAAATAAAGCTAAAAATAAATATTAAATATATAAATAATACAAAAAGCACATAACAAAATTACTACAACTTAAACTAAAATTTTAAATCTACCAACACATATTTAGTTGGTAACCAAGCAAGCACTGACTTTGTATGTCAGTAGTATGGAATACTGTCAATGGCTATTGTCAACTGTTTGGTTACCAACATTCTTCAAAATTTCTTCTTTTGCATTCAATAGAAGGAAGAAACTCATACAAGTTTGAGGGTGAGTAAATAATGGCAATTTTCATTTTTGGGTGAACTATCCCTTTAAGTATAAATCTATGGCAGTTTTTCTCTCATTTTATCATCTAATCAATTAGAAAAACAATAGCGCAGTTTGTCATTTATCCCAGATCAACTTTACTAGCTTTCATTGGTTCTTTGTTCAGTAGGAAAGTGAACATTGTACGGAAGATAGGAAGCAAACATAATATGTTACGGCGAGTCCATGCAAAACCTCTACAGTGCTCTTTGATAGGAATGTGAATTTATTCAGGCATTTCACATCCTGGTTCGATTCCTTCCAAATGCCATCATTCTTGCTTATGTTTCGAAACCTCATCCAATCTGGCATTTGACATGACAGCTCTGGCCGGCTGCGCTATTGTTTTAAACTGCCTTTGTGTTTTGGGTTTCCAGGTATTTTTACGAAATGAATAATGTTTAATATCCATGCCACCAAAAATAAGGAGCCCTTTAATATCTGATATGTCCAAACTTGCAGAATTATTTGACTGGCTGATTCCGATTTTAACCCGCAGTCCAAAGTAAACAGTGGCTGAGCCAAGACGCAATTTTGTGTAAGTGTGTGTGGTTACAATCTCTCTCTAGGAATGTTAGCAGATTTGAGGAAAGAGTGCCAGAGGAGAAGGGGGAATTTCAGGGGTTTGATGTATACTTTTTGTGATGAAAGAGACACAGGCTAATGCATCTCATGAGTGTTGGCACATGTGTTTGTGAGAGCGATAGAGATCTCACTTTCTCCACTTCACTTGCGAGCTTCTTGTTTTCGTCTGTCAGATGCGCTCTCTCCCTCTCGTACTTCTGCTTGTACTCCGTCTCAAACTCCTCTCGCTCAGTTTGGCTGATACAAACACAACAATGAACATGATGAAGTTTACAGTTCAGCTACAATCTGCTACTATGGAAATTCAATGTAAAGAAACAGAACTACAGGTTCACACTGGTGGCCCAACAAGCTAGTGGTCTCATTATGACCATGGAACATTCACAGACCATGGTTCTTATATTCAATATCAGATGTATGCTTCTAAATGTCATATAAAAACAATCTGGTGCATCTGATTGGCTCTTTCTGCCTAAGTGGGCGGCAAACAAGAAAAGCTGTAAATATCTGCTTATATGCAAAGACTGAATGTGCCAGCAGCTGTAAGAAAACACAATGCTTTTACTGACAATGTAAAGAAACTGCATAAAAACCTGGTCACATATAGTCACACATGTACCTTTCTCTGCGGGTTTTCTCCAGTTTATCTTTGAGCATGAGAATCTCTTTCTGGAGTGTGAGGTGTTGACCCTCAGCATTGCGTAGCTCCTTCTTCAGGCCCTTCAGCTCGCTGCTGTGGAGTGTCTCTCTGTGACACAACTCCTCCTCATACTGCACGTTCTTCTTCTCCAGCTCTGCCCGTATGCGCATCAGCTCCTGCTGTTGGTCTGAACTTGCCGCTGCGTGAGGTGGCCCAGTTTGTTTCAACTGCTGTAGGAGGATCGAGACATATGCAAGCATGAAGTGAAAGAAAGGACTAAGAGAATGAGAGAAAAGGAGGAAAATGGGAGCAAACAAGATCTAAAAGAGTTTTTCATGTATATATATATATATATACATATACACCAGTAGAGATTTTGGACTATCTTCTCTATCACAGTTACATGCTCACGTGATGTTGCTGTGCTACGTGGTCATGAAAACTCAACGTGTTTTTTATACCTTGTGGTTTAATTTTGATTTTATTGAATAATAATTTGTTTTTAAACCGTTGAAACACAATCAACAGGCGCACGCACGTGAAGACGGTGCTCAGAGAGTACGGAAGTATTGAACGGAGTTATTTTTGCCGCTTTATAAGCATTGAACGGTTAAATACACACACTTGTATGCCTGTTTTTGCAAGTATCCTCGCAAACAGTATTTTTGGTCTTAAGTGAAAGCAAACAGCTGAGAAGGAAAACAAGGGTAACAGTATATCAGATCTGGGTAGCTCTTAAAGTGAAAGCAGTCTAATATTCCTGCTGTCTGTCATTCATGTTAATCTCTCACTGTTCTTGACTAAATCACTTTTGTAACTTTAGTATATATAATATATATATATATATATATACACATAACATTTCTAAATGGCCAATTATCAGGCAATTAATGTATATTAATGTACTCATGCATTGTCACCTTCATCCCTTCCAGTTCCTCCTCCAACTGTCTGCTGTACTGTTCGGTTCTCTCTCGTATCTTCCTCTCTTTCTGAGCTTCTGCTGCTTGCTCCTCGGCCTGGGCCTCCAACTGAGAGGAAAACACCACAAACTTCAAATACGCAGCCAACAAAACCACAAATACGATACCATTGATGATTGCTGGGGCACTGCATCAAAATTACAAACATGTTGACTTGGCTTATGTAAAGAGGTCAAACAACAGTAAGTTTCAGAAAGTATACCTCTTTGCGCATTCTCTCAGCTTTGCGAATCTCTAGCCGTAGAGCCTCTAGTTTCTGCGAAATTCCTTCCATCTCCTCCTCTTTGTCTCTGAACTGTCGGCTCAACCGCTGCTTTTGTGAGCGCAGATCGCTCAGCTGCTCGTTCAGCTCAGAGAACTCCTGTATGGCCACCATCTTTTGACTGTGAGCCTCCTTTAGCTCCTTCCCCTGAGCCTTCACTTTCTCTGCCAACTCCAGCAGCTCCTTCACATATTCATTACAGAGTCAAAGTTACCATAACTTAAGGCTGGAATACACTACACAACTATTTACCAGATATTTCCACTGATCTGCAGACTGGACAAGTCAATGCTAGCTACCGAAAGTCAGAGTCAATCTAAAGTTTACAGATTTCATCGAAAATCACATAGTGCATTATGGACAGACTTTTTTAGCTTCAGACTATGATTCCATCCAGTCGGAAGACATCAGACACGTTTGATATTTTGAGATATTTTGTTTTCATTCGTCATGTGTCTTCCTACTAATGTGACACGATTCTGCAATAATTTTTTATGTTCAGTATAACTTAAATGTCTGGTAGTGTGTGATCCTCAGTCGTTTATAGCATGATGCCCAAAATTTCTCTGTAACAGTTTACAAAGTTGATCCCTAGCGTTTTAAAATATGTTCACATTTTAAGTCATATAGTGTATTCCAGCTTTTACTGTCTATGATCAACTATTTACTAGTCATTGAGTTAAAGAGTAATCTGTTAAACGGCATGGTTAAAGATTAGTCAGCTCATGTCACTGTTACATTATACTATGCCAGCTGTCACACACAGCACAGACCATCTTTAAGTGGTTTACTGGTCTCCCAGTCTAGCCAAGCTGTATTCTAATGGTTTTAGAGGAGTTTTGGTCATTTTTTAGCAGATTAACAAGCTGAACATCAGCTTGGCCAGGCTGGAAGACCAGCTAGACCGGTTTAAACCATCTAAAACCAGTAAATCTTAGACTAGTTTAAGACGTAATTTAGAATCCTCATTTTTGGATTAAAGGCCAACATGATTGGAGTTGGTAAACCACCTTGGATCACCTGGTGGAGGCGTGGTTGAGCTAGTTAACCATACTCCAAACATCTTGACCTAGTTGACAAGCTTCAGCTACCTAGACTAGTGTAGAAAGCAAGCTAACAGTATGATTTTATGCCTATTTTTAAAATACAATGAAATAGGTACCTTGTGCAGATCATCTTTCTCTTGCGTGACACTCTTCAGCTGTTTCTCTAAGCTCCTGATGACCTTAGAAGAGTCTTCCAGGTCTCTTCGAACCGTGCTGGCCTCCTCCAACTGCTGTTCCACTTGACCAGAGTCTGATGTGACGAAACATTAAGCCGGACTCAGTGTTGGGTGTAACTAGTAACTAAGTAATTAGTTACTGTAATTTTATTACTTTTCCCTTGAAAAAGTAAAGGGATTACTCTCATTTTTTCTGTAATTTAATTACAGTTACTTCTTATGTAATTGAACTTAATACTGTATATAGACTGTAGAACATTTATATACAATACAATACAATACCAGACAATAGTGGATTTAACATCAAAATTTAAAGTCTAACCTTAAATTGCATGCTTTTTATCTACCCTTTTCACTTTAAATACTTTGGTGAGTTAATAAGAATATTTGTAACACTTTAGTGTCCAATTCTCACTATTAACTAGTTGGTTATTCGCATGAATATTACTGGGATATTGGCTGTTTATTATTACGTAAAAAGCACATGTTAATGTCTTATTCTGCAAGACCTTATTCTAAATCCTTAATCCTACCCAATTCTTAAACTTAATTGTCAACAACTACTTTACTAAGTATTAATAAGCAGCAATTAGGAGTATATTGAGATAAAAGTATAGTTAGTTCATAGTTAATAGTTAGTTAATAGTGATAGTGTGACCAGAAGAATTTATGTAGTTATCTATTATTTATTTGAAAGAATTAAAAGAACCGTTTCATGTCTTTCCTTGTATCATTCATTAACTTTGATATAGGATTCAGAAAGTAATTAGTAATAAGTGATTAAATACTTTTTTGGAGAGAGTAATTTGTTCAGTAATCTAATTACACCATTGAAGATGTAACTAGTAACTAGTAATTAATTACTTTTTTAGAGTAACTTACCCAACACTTATAGAGTCTTTGTCTAGAGATGTCACTACACTCAATGGGTAATCAATAGAGTACAATAAAGACCCAAGACCAGGACTGTGCCTCTGACTGAGCGTGTTCTAACCCAATATCGAGCTCTCACCTGCTATCTGTTTCTTCAGGATGTCGATCTCACTCTTTAAACTCCGGATCTCTACCTCTTTATTGCCATTCACCGGGGCGTCCGAATCAGGGTACTGCAGTGCCTGCACTGTTTGCGTGGACTCTAAGGGAAAAAGGATGTTTCAGAGAGACAGAAAGATCAAATATGATTTAGTGTGGCTGTGGTAGTGCCCTCACCCTGTAGTTTACGTGCAAGTTCGGTCTTCTCCTGCTCTAGACGTCGGATCCTCCTCTCATAGGCCTCTGAGGCCAGGCTCTCCTCCAGGCTTCGCTGAAGATCAGCATCTACCTGTGGTGGTCCAATGGACTCCCGCAGACACCCTCGATCTGATAGTGTGCTATAGAACCACATCACACAAGAAACTGCAGTTCAAATTTTGTGATGCCGCAGAATAAATCAAACTGTTAAAGTGCACTACAACCTACACTACCATTCAAAAGTTTGGGGTTGTTAAGATTTTTTTGTATTTTTAAAATGTTTCTTATCCTCACCAAAGCTACATGTATTTGATTAAAAATACAGTTACAAAAACAGTAATATTATGAAATGTTATTACAATTTAAAATAATTGTTCTCTATTTTAATATATTTTAAATTATAATTTATTCCTGTGATGAGTCAAATAATCCTTCAGAAATCATTCTAATATACTGATTTGGTGCTCAAGAAACATTTATCATTATCTCTGTTAAAAAAAGGTTGTGCTGCTCAATATTTTTCTAGTATTTTTTGTTCTGCATTTATATGAAATATAAATCTTTTGTATCAATGTAACTGTCATATATATTTTTTTTTACATATTTTAAAAAGGCAGGATGAATAAATATATAACTCTGTTCTGCATTTATATGAAATATAAATCTTTTGTATCAATGTAACTGTCATATGTAGCATTTGGACCAATCAGACACACAACTTTTTGTTATATATTTTTCTAGTATTTTTTGTTCTGCATTTATATGAAATATAAATCTTTTGTATCAATGTAACTGTCATATATATTTTTTTTTACATATTTTAAAAAGGCAGGATGAATAAATATATAACTCACCATTTGCTTGTGTAGGTGAAGCCTATGAATGGGAGGTGGTGTCCAGAAAATGGTGTGTGTGAAGGTGGGGGCAACGTCTCCTAAAATATAATATAATCCAGTTCTGTATAGTGGCATATTTAAGAGGAAATGTGTCTCTGCAAAAATCTATCAACCACACATTAAGGCACTTGTGTGGAATAAATTAATCAGCTTCAGGATAAAATTAGAAAGAAATTAGACACATACACAGTTTTTGAAGCAATCATCATCCACGTCAAAGTTGGAAGTGTCTGTGGGGCTGCTGACTTCGGGGATGTAGGGGGCTTCACATGTGCGGATGTTGTCCCAGTCGATGCCTGTGAAAAAGGGGTGATGTTTGAAGTCATCGATCCCATTCTGGCCTAACCGGTGTTCTCTGCTGCAGATCAGCCGCCGTATGAGATCTTTAGCCTCCTCAGACACATCTGTCACCTGAAGTGGGAACTGAAAGCGCTCCTGAGAATGAATGAGTTAAAACATACTTAGTGCTCAGTGCTACGCATTGAGACTCTCTCAAATATCTCTGCCTATCTGCACTAGTTACATGTGTTCGATTAGTTAATTCCCACACAGAGCTAAATGAACCTTGATGAATAGGTGAATTTTTACCTCATTGTTAGGTTGAGATGACTAATCCAGAACAAAATAGTGAAGAAAAGACAAAAATATTTTTTAATTCAAAACTTCTACAATCCACTCATGACTTTTTGTTTTATACCAAGAAAGAGACACAAACAAATTATCCTGGTGGTGAACTAAACATGGAACGGGTTACCTAGAAATTAAGCTACTCTACTGCAAACAGATTTCAGAAGAGGATCTCTACAATTAAAAGTGAAATGTGTAATTTCTGCATCACTAGCATCGCATAAATAGCACTTGTTTTCCTGAACAAGCTAATGTTTTCATAGTATAGCATTTTTACACTATTGAGGAGAAACAACCAATGAACGGCTTGCTTGTCTCTAAAGGATGTACAGTATTTTAACACCTACAAATTAAACATATCACCTTAAATACACATTGGAAAATAACAACACTGTCAAGTTACTGCACAGAATCACATGTTGGTCTACGATGCAAATTAACCTTATGATTCATGATCTTTCCATAGGTCTCCACCAGGGATTCAGCATAAAAGGGCGTCTCTCCATACAGCATCTCGTACATGCACACACCCAGAGACCACCAGTCACACTCCGGCCCGTACTTCCCCTTCCCGTCCTCCATAGCCTGCAAGATCTCTGGAGAGATGTAGTCCGGGGTCCCAACTGCCACAGAGGACTGGACCTGAGAGAAAACAGGAAATTATAACACAAGACTTACTTAGCAAGTAATCATGTGCTTGACAATTCAGGATTGAAGATCAAACTCACTGTCCCATCTTCCATGAGCTTGAGGCATGAGCCAAAGTCAGCCAGTCGGATGTGACCGTTCATGTCCATCAGGATATTGTCTGGCTTAATATCCCTGATTACACATAAAACACAATGATAAACATTCATGTTCTAAACCAAAAAGAACCATAACAAAAAAGTCAAAGTATTATAGTGTCATGCTAAATGAATATGAGAATCATTAATTGCCATGGTGTGTGCATATGTATTAAATTAAATGATATAAATAAATGTATACTTACAGTATTATTTGTTTATTTTTGTTATTATTTGTATTATGTGTATATATAGTTAAATAAAAGGTGTATATATCAGACCACACTGGTACAGTGGTGTGTAGGTGGACTAACAAAGGGTCTGTGGTGTCCTAATGAGGGTCAAAGGTCATGTACATACTCCTACCGTATTACACTTACTCAAATAACAGCACAATTTGTGCCAGATTTCTAAATTGTCCGGGATGTTTCATACAATATCTGTTTAAGACGCCTAAGTTTATCTATATCAATAAATCACACAACTGTCCTGTGGCTGGCACAAGTACAGTGATGGCTGTCGTAAAAGAGATAAGCAAAACTTTGAAGGACACGCGCACGCTATCTCACTCAAACAGCCGGGGGATTTACCAGTGTCAGCACATCATCAATCATAACAGCTCATAAACCCTAAAACTCAGCACTACTGACGTTTTTGTTGCGCTTTACAGCCAACTACATTGCAGACATTACAAGCTCATACAGCATGTGTGTGTGTGTGTAAGCTGTGATCTTCCAGTTTTGGCAGAGTTGATTATTAATGCAAGGTATGAAGATATATATGTGTGCGTGTGTGAGGTGAGAGGCAGGCAGCCACCCCCTGCTGTCGAGCAGTTGAATAGAGGGCCAAAATGAACCATGTATGAGAGGTCTGTCTGAGATTGTGGTAGGAACTCAGTGGGTGGTGGATCTCTTTTCATAATGGCTTGACCTCATCCACACCGAATAATGAAGCAATATTGTAGTCAACACTTCAGTGTTTATATTATACTGCACACCTGTTTGGGTGTCATGTTTCGTAAGCTATTTAACCATTAAGAAATCACCCATAATTTTTTAATCACAGAAAACAAGCCTAAATAATTTAGAAATGCAACAAGATTTCATTTAAAATGTATTGTATACATATTATTTGAATTCATTTTAATACATATATATCAACTATGAAATAAGTAAATATAAAATATATTTCTTTACTATATTTAACTATACACCACCATTCAAAAGTCTCTGAAAGATGTAAGTTTTCTGAAATAAGTCTCTTATGCTCACTAAGGCTGCATTTATTTCATAAACAGTTTTATGTTTTAATATATTTTAAAATAATTTATATTTTTTATTGTATTTATAATTTGTTAATTTAAAAATTTTGTAATTTATTTCTGTGATGGCAAAGATGAATTTTTAGTAGATATTACTCCAGTCTTCAATGTCACATGATCCTGCATAAATCATTCGAATAGGCTACATTTGATGCTCAAGAAATATCTTATTCAATTCTTATTATAGTGAATGTTGAAAACAGAATATTTTTATAAAATGTGATACTTTTTTCAGGATTCCTTAAAAAAAATCTAAAGATATAATGCTAAAAAGAACAGCATTTAATTGAATTACAATAGTAGTGTACCGGTATAAATAGATAAAGCACCCAAATTAACTGAATAATTCAGAGACATTATTATTTCATTATTGTGGCAGATAATAAAAAGTTAGTGCAATGAGATGCAATGACAACCCACAATTGATGCATTAATTTTTCAGAAGGAAAATCATTACAGAATTTATGTACAGCTCCGCGGACACAATCAATTAGGTTGAGTTTATGTTTTAACTGAAACACAAAATATTTATAAATACATTTATTTTTTTTCAATAGCAAAATCGAACCCAATGCACAGCAGATCTCTCAACAGCCATAATCCATGACCAATTCTGCAGACCATCCAGACCCCTCATTTTGCTGAATCTGTCATTGAGGTCTTAAACAGTTTTTTCTTTCCAAGAGGGTTTTGGCTTGATTGGGCCATTCTCACCATCACGGTCCAGTGCCACAGAGCAAACATCAGAAAGCAGAGGAGGACATGCTAAACCAATTACAGAAGTAGAGAAACTCTGAGCCAAACAAATATGCTCTACAGAGTCCATAGATTAACACTATGAGCTAACAAGGTTTACTACAGATAATGTGGAAATATTCATGACACAGCCATTGGCGATGACTCCATAGCATTATTACTCCATCCTTGGGTGTGTAACTCATTGCTAAGCTTATATTTATACTGTTAAACTTGGCTTGTCTTATATCTATATTAGATTTGGTTAACCTGGCCGCATGCCTCCTGCTAGGCTAAATGCAATTCCCTTTGTAATGGTGCATTAAGGGGTCCGGTCTGGTCAGCAGGGGTTGTAGTGTAGGTGATAATTGGGTGGCTCTGTCCCGGGCTGCTGTCTTAAGGAGCAGCGGACTGCGAGCAGAGGGAGGTAATCCCACTTTAAGACCACAATAACCATCTGTGAGCACCATCTGGCCCGGCCTCATGCCTACCACAGGGAGAGCTGGTCAGCTATAGATAGCAAGAAAGAGAAGGGGGTGGGACTCATTGTATAGGGATGTTGTATACATTTCAGCAATTCATTCTGTCCTTTATTACTCGAGCACTGAGCTCAATCCATTATTTCTAAAAAAAAAACAGAAGAGTGGATTATGTGGAAACTTCAACTTGTAGGTCAAGGCCCTGTTGTTGAAAAAAGCTGTTCTACAAGCACTAAGAACGCCGTAGACGTCGCCAAACAAAACTCTTTATGAGGTCATCCAATCACCTGTGCCAGTTCAGATGAATGTGGCTTTATCCTCAGGCAACGACTGTGCATCTTTCTCTTTGATAAAGGATCTTTACAGGTAACAAGAGATTCCCTTTTGACATTTGAGGTGCGACGAGGCATGTCTTGGCGGCGAATGAAATTCCAGATTCCTTAGAAATCAGCTGAGGCATCACACACATGGCTTTGATCAATAGCAGGACACACATATGGCCCTGATCAATAACCGAGTATAATGCAATGGTCACGCACAACAAAAACACGCAGATGCTAGTGCATCCAGTTGGCTCTTCGGCTGTGACATGGGCTGGTCCTTTTCAGTGAAAGGATCAAAATGCACCCTATGCAAATATCTGGCCGAGAGGAACTGGGCACTTAACACCACTTACGAGCACAATCTCTAAAAATCCTCCACTTTAACACAACAGCTTGCCCACTTAGTCTAATGAGGGCTGGGTGAAAGCAAGGGCTCCAAGCTTTTCCTGGAAAGAGCTTTCGGGGCAGGAGCCGACAAATGTAATCTGGAGACTTGAAGTGTGAAAGCTGCATTTAAAATGTAAATGTGAATTAATGAAGTGACAAAAGTCATTTGAGATTTATTAAATCCATTTAAAGGCATTGTTAACCCAAAAAATTAACCTTTATTCCTCGCCAAATCATTCTAAACTTGTTTTCCATGGAAGATGCAGCATGTCAGGTTTGATGTCAATGCTGAACGATAAAGTCTCTGTCACACAACTTATGTAATAAAGTAAACTTATAATAAAAGTATAATAAAAGTGAAATCGCAATGTGTTTCAGTGTGATTATTAAATTGCAAAAACTGTGATTTAATTAAATAAATGTACTGCAGGTTTTAAAGTCAAATTAAATAATTATGTTTATAATAATATAATATAATATATAAATCATTACATACTTTTTATATCACTGTTTTAAAATAGTAATATTTCTTGTTTTGTTTAATATGTGTATCTTTAATAATAATAATAATAATTATAATTATTATTATTATTATTGTTATTATTTTTTTCTCACTTTATTTGTAAATTATCAAGTATTAAACATTTTCAATATTTCAAAAATACAGTTAAAATGACATTTTAACATGTGACTATATATAAAGAAAGGGCATCAGAATAAAAATAAGAAACTATTAAAATAAAAGACACATTTAATTATAACCAAATAGTAAAGTAAAAATTATTTTAATAATAATAATAATAATAATAATTATTATTATTATTATTATTATTATTATAGTCATATATAAATCACAAAATTTTTGGCCAAATTGAGCAGTCTTACAAACAAGCACAAAACCTGGAGCTCCTCTTTTTAAATCACACTTTAAATCGCTATTTGATTTTATAAAATAATTTAGTATTGACTATTTTCATTATTTAAGTGAAATATCTCTTTAAATCTAATTTTTAGATGGTACAGTACTATTTATGTATCACTGTGCATTCGTGCAAACTGTGGTGTCATTTCACACAGTACATCCACCCTCAAGCATACAGATGTGCTTATTCCCAAATGCACACCCTTTAACACGGCTTGCTCATAGAAAAACACACCCACGCCAACCCCATTCCCTGGAGACCAATCCACTCTGTCCCCACCCTCCACAAACCAGGCGTGCCAAACTCTCACGAGAGGAGAGCTAACCACACCTCTAACCCCATGATTACTGCCTTTAACTTTCCCCTGCCTGTCCCTCTGGGTGCCCCAAAAGCAGCGACTAAAAGAGCTGCATATAAGTTTGTGAGGAAGACAACATGAGTACATAACAGAAAGTGTATGTTTGTACCCAAATGATGTGTTTGGTGGGACTGTTGAAGCACACCCAAAGTCCCAGTACAAACACATTCATCACACTGAGGGCTCTATGCAACTGGTGCCTGTCAGTATGCAAATGTTGACACTTCCTGTGTGATAACTGAAGATGGGTTCCAATCCAGCCTGCCCTCAGACTAAACATAGCCTTTTTCCGACTCATTGCACTCTGATTTCATGCATGCTTAGTTGATTCGAAAACCCCATGAAATCAAAATGTGTGTTTTGTGGCTTTTAATCCATGTGCATTCATTTTGAAGTCATCTATATGCTAACATACACTATCATTCAAAAGTTTGGGGTAAGATTTGTAATGGAAAAACTATTACTAATTAAGATTTTAATATATTTTAAAATGAAATTTATTCCTGTGATGGTAAAACTGATTTTCCAGCAGCGATTATACCAGTATTTAGTGTCACATGATCATTTTTGATCAATTTAATGCATCTTCGCAGAAAACAATATTAATAAAATATTCATATTAATATTAAATATATTAATATTAATATAAATATTTCCTTAAAAATCTTGCTGCCCTCAAACTTTTGTATAGTAGTGTACTATGAAAGATTAACAAAACTGACTTTAATCAGATACAAGTTTTTCTTCTGTGAAAACATCAAAAGCACTGATGACTCATGTTGCACTACACAGATTTTAGTCCAATCAAATTCTCCCTAAAATGAGAATGCTCTCCCTATAAAACTACTTGTAACTAACTAGAAAACATCGTCATGGCAAAATAAGGATGAGCCATTTAATACACCTCACCCAAACATCTGGTTTCAATCAAGACGTCACATTTTGGCTGGTTAACAAGGCATCTGCTTTCAAATGTCATCAAAAAACATGTATTTTCAATAAATAAAAGAGTTTTACAAGCAAGCAAGACTACAAAAAAGATTGCTGTGTACAGTAGGTCAATGATATGATTATACGTTTATTGATATGGAAACAAAAAAGCAATATAGTGACTTCTAAAGCCACTTTTTAATGTCTATTCAATGCTTTCATCTGCCACAATGATATATTTAAATGAACATCATTCAGGGGTTCAGCAAATACTGACATATGCCATTCATTTAATTAATGAGTGAGCATTTAATTCAGTCAAATTTTTAACTGATTAACAACCTTAGTTTAAAGAGTCAAAACCCACCTGTGAACATAATGTAGCTGATGCACAGAGTCAATAGCCAAGACCATTTCGGCCAGATAGAACTTGGCCATGTCTTCAGGCAAACGATCTTCAAATTTACTGAGCAGAGTCAACAGATCTCCCCCTACATAGTAGTCCATCACCAGGTACTGGGAGGAGAGAAAAACAGGAAGAAAATAGGAACAGAAGAAACAAATATAATGGAAAACAAAGATATCAATAATTTTACATCTTTTAAACTCCCTTTACCCTTGGATTAACCCATCCCATCTCAATTATCCATGACATTCTTTCATCTAAAATCTCTTTATCGTTCTTTTCCTCCAGTTTCATTCCCTCACACTCCCACTCATGGAGCTGAACTCAAAATGATAATTCATATTAGAGCCCCTCTTCTTCAGTCACGCTATATGCAACACGGCACAGATAAATATATAGTCTGCTATAAAACCGTGTCCCTTGAAACTCTGTAAGCAGTGATTAATGATCATTACATTATCTCCCCCTTTGGACTTTATCAAGCGAATGTGAATCAGACCCAATGTGAGCTTGAGAGTTCTCACGCACCAAGTTGTTCTCGTCCTGGAAAGCATAGTGTAACGTTGTGATCCACTGACTGTCCCCGTTCACCAGCACGTCCCGTTCCTCCCGAAAACATGCCGTCTGAGAAAAATAAGGTTAAAATGTCAGAGAAAACCACTTTTTTGGAGTCAGCCATCAAATATGTACCCAACATATTTAGAATGACTCCAACCAAGGGGTCTGTTTCCACAGTGAGGAATGGTTTCTGAATCATATAGAGCAAAGACTGTTTGTTTTTAAGTGGTTTCTCATGCAATAACACTCTCCTAGGAAGCTAAAGAATGACACACCAGGGATATAGGAGAAACGGCTGCATCAGCTGAATGGAAAAGCCTGATGCTAACTGGATCAAGATTTGCACATTATATAAAAATCAGTCTTGAGAAAACCATTACTGCTATTTGCAGCTAAAGCCGTTCGCTTTGGACCAAATCTGCTGAATGAAAGGAAGAGATGTGTAAAAACATCAGCTCACCTCAGCCCTTTTGAGCATTTCCCATTTGTTAAGAATCTTCATGGCAAATACTTTGTCTGTATTTTTCACCTTTACTACTGCAACCTGTAAAAAAAGACAAGAACATCCAGTTCAGAAGTGATCTTAAACATAATATGGCCTGGAAACAGTGTTTATATTGGCATTCACACAAAAGTGTTACTCAGCTTGCTTGTTAAAAATGCTGCCATTACCATTCAGTGAAGAAATGTACAGCAGATTATGAGCAGAATTATATAATAGCCAGTTTGTTCATCTTTACTGGTGTTTTAGGGTTTACAGAAACATGTAAAACATGATTTTTGTGTCTACAGAGCATTTTAAATCCTACTGAAGAACTGATTTTTTAAACTTCAAAGAAATGTATTCAAGTGGTACCCTTCAATAACTTGGTGTCTGTAAACAAACATATAATATCTGTGGTTGGTCTCTTTACAATACCATTCAAAAGTTTGTGGTTGGTACGATTTTTAAATGAAAGAAGTCTCTTACTCTCACAAATGATGCATTTATTTGATCAATAATACAGGAAAAACAGTACCTTTGTGAAATATGACAACAATTTAAAATAACATTTTTATTTTAATAAACTTTCAAATGTAAATGCAAATGCAAAGTTGAGTTTTCAGCAGCCATTGCTCCAGTTTTCAGTATCACATTATCCTTCAGAAATCCTTCTAGTATGCGGATTTGGTGCTCAAATAATATTTCTTATTATTACAAATGTTGAAAACAGCTGCTTAATATTTTGTGGGAGTCAGGATTCTTTGATAAATAGAAAGTTGCATTTATTCAAAATAAAAAAAATTTTTACATTATAAACGTCAGTCAGACAGTCCATTCCTGTCTAAATGGGCAATTATTTGTAACAGTATGCATCAAATTCAATCTCTGTGAGACTACAAATAGTAAAGTTCAAATACAAATAAAAACAGATGTCTGTGAATGCCATGAGATCAAAATGCCAGAAAAGTAACCGTCATATGATCTTATCTAGCTTCTGCCTTGAAGAGGAAATATGAAAGATTAAGCCCAGTTAGGCGTGTGATGTCTTCACTCTATTAAACGATGATCAGAGAACGTAACAATGTTCTGGCAATGTTCAGTGACTTGATCGGGAAAGAGCACACTTTTCTTGGCTCTGACCTGGATGACAGAAGAGTCTCCTTCAAAGTTCTTTGCTCTTCACTTTCTGCCATCAAGTATGTGATGACATCTTCAGAAACTAACATTCTGTATGTTTATAGTATGCTTAGTACGTAGTTTATACTTTACAAATATTTACAGTATATAAACATTTTGATAAAAAAATTACAGCATTACAGTAAGTAGCATTTAAGTGTGTTGAAAAGAATGACTTTAGAACACATTGACATTATTTATTTTTTGGGGAAATTCAGTAGCAGCTACTGGCTCAGAAGTCTGCATAGGAAATTATGTCATCTGCCCTTCTTCTGCTCGCCCAAGCCTATCCTGAACCATCAGGAGATGAAAGTGTGTGACCAATCCTCAATCTGTTCCTTCGCACGTTTCCTCACAGCTACATCAAGCAGAACAGACTTTCTGCTAGCTTTCCATGAGCTGTTGATTCCAGCTAGACTGAAGTGAGCAGACGCTAGGCCGGAAACCCTGTCGAGTGGTTTGTCAGAAGAAAACGCTCCTATTGACGAGGTTGCAGATGAATCATAGCTCACCAGACGTTGACAAGTGAAAAACCGAAGGACTGACAGATATAGCCCTTTAAAATCTACTTTAATCTCAAGGATCTTTGATGTATTTCCATCCACCCAATCTAATAAATGTGTTGCCATTTTTATAACGCAAACCTATCCGTCATTAAAAAAAGTTTCAACTGCCTTTTTGAAGACACAGCTGTTAATGTATTTCACCACTTGGAAAATGTAAGGTACTTGATTTCAGAGGAATTTGTTTAAAGCAGATCTGTATGTTAAAGGATTCGATTTGGTCTTCATTTACTCACTCTTCTGTTGTTCCCAAAAGCCATATGAATTTATTTTTTCCATTGAAAACAAAAGGAGAAACTTTGAGGTATATGCTGGTCACTATCCGAATGTAGATTAAAGCTTTCAAGCTTAAAAAAAACAAAAATCCATAAAATTATCATAAAAATAGTCAGATATGTACAAATTGTACGCAATATTTCAAGTCAGAGCTGCCAAGATATTCCTCAAATATTAACTTTTGGTATTCCACGGAAGAAAGGGAGTTGCACTGGTTACAAAAGGGTGAGTAAATAATGACAACATTTTTATTTTTGGGTGATCTATAACTTCAACTCCACTTGGAAAAGTCCAAGTGCCACAGAGCTGTTTTCTCAGTCACTGTGAAATAAAACCTGAATAAAAATTCCATAAACCATTTGCTGGGATTTTAAACATGGCTGCTATCCAATGTTCCCACTTCATGGGCCATTCTGAACAGCCAGGCCTCACTAAGTAACCTAATAGTGCTGGTTTCCTGGCCTACCTGTGCACCACACATTCCCCAGTGACTACATCACACATCTGTCATTACAAAAGAACATCAACTGCCTCTGGCTCTCAAAAGTACTGCATGAAGAATGTCCTTACTCTGCAACATACCTGTGCTTATGGTAAAGCAGTATATTAACTCATTAAATAATACAAAGGGGCTGTTATGGGAGCTAAAAAAAAAACAATACATTGTTCCAAATAGAGTGAGAACAATAAATACCTCTCCAAACGCTCCCCGTCCAATCACCTTCAGAATCTCGAAATCTTCCTTGTGCAAGCGCATCTGTTTCACCTTGGATGTGAAAGGTTTGACTGTAAAATAAAAAAAAACAGAAAAGAAAGGGGACAAAATCAGTATGTGTGGGTTAGAGCTAAAAAATATTTAAAAAATAATAATACAAATACAGAAATTGTTAAAACTTATAGAAAAATATGCTACCATTCAAAGGTTTGGGGTCAGAAAGATAAAAAAACAATAAATAAATAAAAATACTTCTATTCAGCAAAGATGCATTTTGATAAAAATAAATCAAATACATTTTAAAATATAAAGCTTTGAACTTTCTTTTCATCAAAGTATCCTGACATAATGTATCGTAATGTATTGAACTGATTTCAACATTGATAAAAAAAAAGAAAAAGAAATGTTTCTTGAGCACCAAATCAGCATAATAGAATGATTTCTGAAGGATCATGTGACACTGAAGACTGGAGTAATGGCTGCTGAAAATGTAGCTTTGCCACTACAGAAATAAATTATATTTTACATTTTATAAAATAGAAAAAAAATATTTTAAATTGTAATAATATTTCACAGTAATACCTTTTTAAAAAAAAATAAATGGCACCTTGAAGAGACTTTAAAAAAAAAAAAATCTGACCCCAACATTTTGAACAGTTATTAACATTTCATTTATTTATGAAAAACTACTGTTTTCAGAGTTATTCGCAAGGAAAGCATGATCTTCCTAAAACATCTTTTTACAAAGCTCAGCCTCATCTAATGGCTCTCATACACATTACTGAGGTGTTCTGTCGCAAAAATGGGGTATTAACATTTCATTTATTTATGAAAAACTACTGTTTTCAGAGTTATTCGTAACTTTTTTTTTTTGTCAAATTAACTACTATTTTAAACAATTTGTTGTAAATATTACGTAAAGTAGCAATATTGTGCGTGTTATTCCCAGGGAGGGAAACATGGGAACAGAGGAGGAGATGATCTCAACCGCAGTGCGATAAGGATAAAAATCTGCCGTGTTTATCCTCAACAAGAGTACAAACACGCCACCCACACCTGCCATCATCAGAGTCTATGCAGCTCTAAACTTAGCATCTCAGAATGAGGAAAGCATGATCTTCCTAAAACATCTTTTTACAAAGCTCAGCCTCATCTAATGGCTCTCATACACATTACTGAGGTGTTCTGTCGCAAAAATGGGAGCACAGTGCCACTGCTGCAGACTCAGTTTAGTCCATAAACTCTCATCCAATCAGCATCAAGCACACAGGGTGGGGCGGCTCTGTTGCTATAGCAATATTGGATTGTGCAGAAAAGAGAAATTCGAAAAAAGTCACATAGGTGTCAGAATGTAGAACTGTTGTATATTTTAAAAACTATTTTTTATAAATTTAACCAACTAAAATGCGTTTTAGCTAACTTTCATTAAAGTCAGTTTGATTTTTTTATATAATGCTATGACGTGTGCATTTTTAAGTGTCTAAATTTCCTCTATAATTACTTCTATAAAACCTCCTTATTTTTACTATCTAATAATATAAACTAAGAATAAATCAAATGTTTTCTGATTCTATTTAAGGGGTCATTATCTGTTCCAGACAGTTCCAGGCTGCATCTGTCTTTCAGAGCAAATAAGTGGGTAGACCAGCAAGGTACAATTGGTGGCTCCAAGGCATTTTGGTCCCAGCAAGCCTTCAGCCAGGTCATTACATCTCATCAGAACTGCTCCACATTACTACTGTAATTACACTTAAGCACTGACCCACTGCTAATCTAACAGTCGTCACAGTCACATATCACAGACCATGCAGCTACTCTATCACACACCCTGCTGACAGCTAAAAACAAGCTAATAATACCAGCAATGTGTAAACACTATTGAACAAGGGATAGGTAGTATAAACAAAGCATTATATCATGCTAGGAGTAATTTTTTTTATAAAGATGGTATATATCACAACTGTGTGTATATATTATTTAATAAGAAAAAATTTCCAGCTAAATTAAACAAACATTAATTAATTAATTAATTAATTAATTAAACAGTATATTTAAATTATTACTTATACTATTATATATTATATGTTTATACTGATATTTTTTTGCTGGAAATATGTACCATGTATGTATGTATGTGTGTGTGTGTGTGTGTGTGTGTGTGTGTGTGTGTGTGTGTGTGTGTGTGTGTGTATATACACACACACACACACATACATACATATATATATTATGAATTAATGAAATTTGAATGAAACATTACACTAAAAATTAGTAAATAAAAATTGTAATAAGATTTTATTCTTTTGATCTTTGTATCTTATTTAAAGAAAAATTAAATAAACATTTGGCAATGCCTATTTTTGGATAATCTATTGTTTTAAATAAAAATACTTATAAAAGTTATACTTATAAAAGGCATATTTCATTTGATTAAATTTTGTATTTTTTGGAACTTGATGGATGCAAACCTGAAGATAATGTCTACTGTCTGGCATCAGTTCAGTATCACAACTGTGTGAATATATCATTTAATAATAAGAAAAAGATCTACATTATCCAGCAAAATAAATAAATAATAATAATAAATACATTATATACTATACTACTACTATTATATTATATGTTTTTATAGATGTGTGTGTGTGTGTGTGTGTGTGTGTGTGTGTGTGTGTGTGTGTGTGTATTTACAATTTTTAATCAGATTAATCACACCCTTTTTCTGTGATTAATTGCGATTAATCGCAAACTTCATGAAATTAAACATAGACCATTTATCTTGTTTCAAATGGTTATTTTGTCATTTGCTATATTCAGCAAAGTAAACCAAAAGATTGAAGGGTGATTCTCAAAAATCTGTATTTTCTGCAAGCTTTTCTCAGGATAAATGTAGATGTCTTTCCAAAAAAGGACTCCAAAAGAACTCCAAAACTCCAAAAGGATACTCCAAAAGGACACCAAAGAACCAAATGATATAAGGAGCCCATATAAGCACATATGAAAGAAAAAAAATGCTATATATATATATATATATATACACTGAACAAAATTATAAACGCAACACTTTTGTTTTTGCCCCCATTTTTCATGAGCTGATCTCAAAGATCTAAGACTTTTTCTATGTACACATAAGGCCTATTTTTCTCAAATATTGTTCACAAATCTGTCTAAATCGGAGTTAGTGAGCACTTCTCCTTTGCCGAGATAACCCATCCACCTCACAGGTGTGGCATATCAAGATGCTGATTAGACAGCATGATTATTGTACAGGTGTGCCTTAGGCTGGCCACAATAAAAGGCCACTCTAAAATGTGCAGCAAAGTAAACTTCAAAAATTTTGTTCCGTTCAGTTGTGGATGCAGCTGATTCACTGAGACCGCGTGTGTGTGTTTTCCTTTGAAAAAGTTTCCCCAGAAATAACTCGCAATTTAATGCATTTTCCCTTACAAATTGTATTATCAGCATAACAATTTGCCATCCTTCTAGAACAATGTGCATTTATGTTAAAATTGTAACATAAATACACGTCCCAGCTCCTGGAGCTAAAAGACCTGAGGATGGCCTTCCTCTGCTGTAACCAGAGAGGCTAATAAGGCATTGAGAGCATTAACACAATAGCAGTTATGACAATCGGCAATGTGCTCAGGCCTCTGCAACTTAAAGCAGCAGAGGCTATGCTAATGCAAACAGTGAAACTTCATAATGAAATTCTACTTTACGATATAGGTGTCATGTGAATAATGTTTCAATGTTTACATTCAAAATTAACACAGCGGATACTTTTGTAGCCCTCTAAAACACACACATATACACACACAAAAGTTTCAACGAAGTTAAACTAAATTTTCCATACCTTTTATTTTAACAAATAATTAGGTTTTGTGAAGCCCAATCTTCCGAACAAACATTTGATGATGATATTTCTATATATCTTAGGCATTTGATTAATTGGTCTTTGGAAAGCCTACCAAAAATGTAAAAAAATGTAAAAAAAAAAAAAAAAAAAAGTACAGTTGATACAATTTAAGTTTATCTTCAGTTCCTATTGTCTTTCACATAATCTCTATGAATAAAAATGGTGAAAGGCCAAACAAAATTACACTTAAATTGTGCAACACAATTTCTAAATAATTCAATACTTGAAACATTTATTTTTTTACTTAATTTAAACCATATATACAGTATGTATATATATATATTAGGGCTGTCAGTAGATTACAATTTTTAATCAGATTAATCACACCCTTTTTCTGTGATTAATTGCGATTAATCGCAAACTTCATGAAATTAAACATAGACCATTTATCTTGTTTCAAATGGTTATTTTGTCATTTGCTATATTCAGCAAAGTAAACCAAAAGATTGAAGGGTGATTCTCAAAAATCTGTATTTTCTGCAAGCTTTTCTCAGGATAAATGTAGATGTCTTTCCAAAAAAGGACTCCAAAAGAACTCCAAAACTCCAAAAGGATACTCCAAAAGGACACCAAAGAACCAAATGATATAAGGAGCCCATATAAGCACATATGAAAGAAAAAAAATGCTATATATATATATATATATATACACTGAACAAAATTATAAACGCAACACTTTTGTTTTTGCCCCCATTTTTCATGAGCTGATCTCAAAGATCTAAGACTTTTTCTATGTACACATAAGGCCTATTTTTCTCAAATATTGTTCACAAATCTGTCTAAATCGGAGTTAGTGAGCACTTCTCCTTTGCCGAGATAACCCATCCACCTCACAGGTGTGGCATATCAAGATGCTGATTAGACAGCATGATTATTGTACAGGTGTGCCTTAGGCTGGCCACAATAAAAGGCCACTCTAAAATGTGTCTTACTCAAGTAGTTTTTTGGACAAGTACTTTTACTCTACTCACACTAAATTTTTTGGAAGGTAATGGTACTTTTACGTGAGTATATTTTTTCAGTACTCTTTCCACCACTGATTGTAACTTTATTATTTAAAAAACTTCATTAAGTGTCATTTTAACAAATCAGTCAATTTTAACCTTCAATATTATAGTAATGTAGTAGGCTACAAACTGACTCTCATGTATATTTTAC